CGTGCAGTGTATCAAAAACGAAATTTTTAAATTAAAGTCCTTAAAAGGACTTTTCAAGGACTTTTCCAGGACCAAAATTGTATTTTMAAGGAGCATCAAATTCATGCTAATTGTACATTCTTACCTCAAAACTTCAGCCCAACGAATAATTCAGAGATCGCTAGCGCTTCGTGATAGAGATCCATCTTTTTCAAGGAGTTTTCAAGGACTTTTTCCAAATTTTCAAATTTTCAAGGAGTTTCAAGTGCCCTTGAAAACGAGTTTTCAATTCAAGCACTTTTCAAAGAATTAAGGACCTGCACGGACCCTGTCAAAAAATAGGTATCCAATTGTATCTTTGAACTTGCCTCAGGGAAACCAGTGAAACGTAAAGAATATTTTCCCGTTCAACTTCAATATTTGCCAATAATAAGTTCTTCATGCGATTCAAAATAACTGTTGCCTTGGATCATATAGTTTGTAAAGGGAAATGGTTAGGAAGTCTTTTGTGGTGGATTTTTGTATAAACCCGAAGCGTGACCGTGCATAATCTTTTGTTTAACTATTGTTTTAGCTATATTAGTCACATCTGAATGAACAGAGCGAAAATCATTSTTTTGACTATTTCATTCCATAATCCCATAGAGAGCGTTTTTTCTAAAGGACGATGGAAAATTCAAAATGATCGGTTTACATAAATACTCTCTATGATCGACTCATATATCATGAAATGAAATATTTCAATATTGAACGGTCTTGAATGTTTCAACCTCAAAATACGTACAAATGATGTGCAAAAGAAGTACAACAAAAGGGTTCCAAACCATTCCCTTCTATAAATTGCTTGAATGGTAAATACATGGGCTCCTTTTTTTAACTTTCACTGCTCGACAATTTGCAAATGGTGTTATCTCTACCAATTAACCTTCTTTGAAAGAGTTATGTACTAACATAAACAAGTGTAGTTTGCTCCTCCATCTTTTGCCGTGCACTCTCCGCCATCTTCACATGGGTTTGGTAAACAAACAGTCTAAAAGAAAGAAGAAAGAAAGAAGGTTGAGCGAGAACCAACCTAACTCGACCCTCTAAAAAATCAACATTACCTGCAGCTGCATAAACTCTGAGTTGACTTTTAGCACGAGATGTTTCTTGAATCCCGAGCCTGCCCAGTTAAGAAGCTCACATTGATATCGCGATTGATCCAAAGCAATGGTGTTCACCGACAAGCATTCCTTGTTTTGTACGCACTTAAAGCAGCATTCTTTAGTGTTTCTAGTTGTGTGGTTGACCAAATGGCTGCCAAGTTTATAGAAAATCTTCCCTTCGGCACTKATGTGAAAGTTTTGAACGATAACTTTGCCATCTTTGTCGAGAGTTATTACAGAAAGTGAATATTTGAAGCAGCAAGCTAAGGTTAATATAACAATAATATTTTCAAGCATAATATTGGCTCWAAAATGGTTGTCTGAAGACACAAAGATTCCGTCGGACACAGATGAAAATACAAACGTTAYGATAGCAATCAAATATTTATGACTTGGCTCTGTTTGACATAATATCGTTTAGAGGCTGGACTGTTGTCTTAATGAGAGCGACAAGACCTATTGACGAATTAACTGAATTGTGGGGTCATGCAGAGAGGAAACAAAGCCATTCGAACATTTTACATGAATTGAGGTAAGTGAAATAACTGGAAACTCGACCCAAAATTGAGGAAGAGCTGAAAAATCATGCCTTGATTAAAAAAAAATTCAAGAGTTTGCCATTGTTTTACCGATGCGGCTCAAGAAAGTGTGACCTGTGCCTCACTGAAAAACTAACTATAATCAAGAACAACATTAACGCTATCCTAAACAAAAGAGCTGAATTAATCTCAAAATGCCGACATCAAGACTGATATTTTTTATTTCTCCAGAATGAGCACTTTTTAAAGAATATATCAGCAATGACATCCCATATGTTCTAAGGCTACTTTGATATAAATGAATATAGACTTCTGAACCTTTTACGTCACTACTTGATTTTTAATGCATTGTGGGATCAGTTTCTAGAGAAAACAAAAGATACCCGCCATGTTCTGTCCCAAACATATCCTACAATGCATTGCGTATACGGTACATGACGTAAAAGCTGCAGAGGTTTATTTAGCCTGTGTACATCCGTTTCTCGCCCCTCCCTATTTTTTTGGAGGGGTGAGAAACGGATGTACACAGGCTAAGGTTTATTAAGGTAGGTGGATCAGAATTATTGCAAATAGCTGTATTATCGCAGTGTTTATGTATTCGTTCTTTGTTTCTTGAGATGAGACAGGTTTAAACTGACTTT